TGGATGAAAGTCCTAAGGTCGTGTTGCAGTAAGTTTATATAATAAAAATAACATCCATACCCAGGCTCATCATATATGTATGTAGCATGTATGTAAATTGTTCTAGTGTTACGTAATTAGTTATTCAAAAGTTTTAATTATTTTAAACATTCTTCAATTAAAACACACTTGAGCAGCATACTGTACTGTTTATTTATTTAATTTGTGGATTGATTCAGTTGTATTGAAGGAAAACAAGTGTCATTTACAATATCTAGTAAAAACAAACAAAAATTAACTATTTAACATTTTATAACTGTACACTATAAATTGATAGTGGATTATAGATATTTTTCCCAAATGATGCCTTTATAGCTGGGCAGGTAGTGCCACTGTGTGTGTGTTGTTCTGGTGGCGCATCAGCTGTTTGGGTGGCTGGCATTCTTGATCTATTCTACTGCTATCGTAAGTCCTACTTTGTACATCTAATAGCTGGGACCTGAGTTGATCTTTGGAGTGCTACACCTGCTGTCTGAAGCTTAATTGCTCCGCTGGCGTTGCCGGCTGGGGTTGCGGTGCGCGGCCTCCCCTTGTTGTCGGCTCCTCTGCTGGTCCGCTCCTTCCCCGGAGGGCTGCATTCTCACTTCTGGGCAAGCTGCCCGTTTTAGATATTTTTTGTTTTGTAATCGGAATTCACAATTGATTTTTTTTGGTATTAGGCAGGGCAGCACGGTGGCGCAACTGGTAGAGCTGCTGCCTCTCAGCGAGCAGGTCCCTGGTTCAAACCCCGGTCCAGGGGCCTTTCTGGGTGGAGTTTGCATGCTCTCTCCGTGCATGCGTGGGTTTTCTCCGGGTGCTCCGGTTTCCTCCCACAGACCAAAAACATGCATGTTAGGCTGATTGGTAACTCTAAATTGTCCCTAGGTGTGAGTGAGAGAGTGAATGGTTGTTTGTCTCATTTGTCTCTATGTGTCCCTGTGATGGACTTGCGACCCGTCCAGGGTGTACCCCGCCCCTCGCACAGTGATTGCTGGACATGGGCACCAGCGACCCCCGTGACCCAAAACGGAATAAACGGGTAAAGATAATGGATGGATGGTATTAGGCACGTGATTGCCTGCGTGCTGCATTCAAAGCAGCAGCGCTTTGGGCGCCCTGCTGTCTTGTTTTACCCGTATATGGTTACACTGTTTCCATAGTGCGTCAGCTGCTGCGCAGCGACTTGGACTGGCGGTACATGCCTCTTTGAACCCTGATGTCCGAGGGTGGAGAATGGGACGTTGCCAGTTGCTCCAGTAATTGAATTGTTTTATTTGTTTGACGTTTGGAAAGCTCTTTGGAGTCCTCGCTGCTTATTTATGTCAAGTTTTCACTGCTCAGTTTGTCACAAACATATTCGAACAGAGAAGTCTGACAGGACGACAAGTTTAAAGCAAGTTTAGTTTTTCAGTTTTCTTGTTTTAAAATGTAAAAACAGCCCTTTAATGTCTCAGAAATGCAGAGAGTCTTCCTCACTCTTCATTACTGTACAATCTCTTTATTGTTATTGGTGTGACATTTTGAAACTGAAGCATTTTAAATAAGTTTGATCAGAGGGTCAGTTTTATCAATTTGTTTTTATGTATTGTATGGTTTTAATGATTGTTTTAATGGATGAATAAAGAATATTTGTAAAGAATACAGTCTGTGTTCATGGACCTCAATTAGTTGGGTATAAAAATAATCATTTCTCCCCACTGGCGTTGTCGATTTCCTAAATTAAAATCTCTGAAATCTACCCCCCCCCCCCCCTTCTGGTCACATATGCAATTTCATTTTAAAGAAATTGGCACATTTATGTATTTTTCATGTGTAACAACTATTTACAGTATTTACAGTGATTCACAGCTTGAGACTGAATATTAAAAATATGAAGGAACAAAAGTGATTTGTACATTTTCTGATTCTGACTGCGTTGATATAAACACATGGATGAAGGTGTTGAAGTAAAACACGTCAGCAGACTCCACACTTCTTCTGCAACATGGAAACAGCAGTAAGCCTTGGTTGTAGAAGCTGCACCCCTGCAGAACATCTGGACTGCTCCTGGTTCTGGCCTCTGAGAAGACGTTTCCAGTGACACTTGCAGAGACTGAAGATGTGAAGTGTGGACACAAAACATGTTGGGAAGACTGCAGCATCGGAGGAAGAGCAGGAAGTGTGGAGCAGAATGATGCTACGCAGGACTTCTCAGGTGGGCACTGGTAAAACATCTGTGAGCCCTGTGGCACAGGACCACATCTGGATGGTACCAGCTCCAAAGTTTAGAGACCATCTAGGACGAGCGACAAGTGGTTTGGACTCCAGCTGACGTAGTTTTTCTCCTGCTGTCACCCAGTGAGATCTAAAACAGATAACTGTTTTTAGCACATACATATAATACTTGTTATAACATATTTAGCTTTAAACAAGTAACAGATTGTAGTTTGAAGATGAGCTGAAACATCAGCAGAACAAAACAGACCATGCTGCTACCACAGACAGTAACCAGTGAGCAGGAAGATGTTACTGTGAGCTCTCAGTACAGAAGTTGTCCATCGTACAAAGTATGTGAAAGACAATATTTGACCTGTAGTTATGAAGTTCAGCACAATTTGAACATCAAGCATCATAGCATCTTATGTTTTCTTTCACAAATTGTAATGACAATCATATCAGAATGTTAAAATATAATTTAAAAGTTTATACCATGTCTGTCTCAAATACTCCAAATAATTTAGCACTAAATTAGGCTTTATTACGATGTTTATGTACTGTAGCTAACGGTTAGCTCGCTAAGCTACGTCTTTTCTTACCTTGATAGCTGTTGATATATTCTTCATGGAAGAACTTTTGTCCTTTCTCAAGTTTATTGGTTCAATAATTCACCGCTGCGATTTCCTCCCCATCAGCGAAAGAAAAGGCTGGGATAACAGGAAGTGACCCAGCACCAGCAGACGCTACTTCTGGTTGTCGTGAAAAAGGTCTATTGTGTCACTTTTTGTTTGTCTGTTGGTAGCTAGAGTGAATTGTTTGCTCGACTTGTCTCGTTTTCCGGACTTATCTGTCTTTTGCACAGTTTTTCATTCTAGTTCACAAGCACACTTGGTACAGTTGTTTTTCTACTGTTGGGTAGAAAACACCTTTTATCTTTCAACACTTCTCGGTTTTTATTGGTGTATTGGGATCTGCTAGCTGTTGTTAGCGTTAGCTTAGCATGGCTGCTGCTTCTCTTCCAGCTTCCTCTGTTTTCACTTGCTTCATGTGTCTGATGTTTATGTAGCACCCAGTTAGCTTTTTATGCTGTTACACTGGTAAACAGGCGAGAATACAGGAGACTAGATCCATCTGCTGGAGCTGGAGAACAGTAATTAATGACACAGACTGAAATTGGCTTCTGGTGGTACCGTGTATTCTAATAAACGAAAAAGCAATAACAAAAATGTGTAAATAACCAAAAAAAAATAAAAATACCACAAAGTATGTACAAATTGCTGCAGCAGTGCACTTAAATATTATTGCAAAAGACAGACGTCAAAATCAACGCAGGCCCTTGTCAGAGAACAAAAAAAGGAAAAGTCCATCATCAACTATGCCGGTCCTTCTCAAATAGGGGGGCGCGCCCCCCGGGGGGGGCCGGGGGCAATGCGGGGGGGGGGGGGGGGGGGGCATGTGACCCTAGATAAAATACTTTTATGCCACAGGGAGTAGTTGCTTTTTTTTTTCCCACCATTCTCATTCTGTCATGTGCGTTCCTAATAAGTTATGAACAAATATGGCTGCCTTGTGGTTTTGGGAGCCATGAATGACCCGTGTCTCTCTCCTCTGCTGCTGACGTGATAAATAAACTCCGACCGTCACCTCCTCCGTCCTCCGCTGCTGTTTTCATGTCCATGCGCTCTGGACGTCACTCACAGCGTGCATGCAACAAAGAGTAAACTCAAGCGAGAGCAACACCTGCCCCTCTTTCCTCTTCTGCGTTGACAAAATGTTTTAGTTTTATCGATGAGTTTGTCAAAGCGCAATTTATAAAAGTAATGTTTAATAAATGTTAGGACTCTATTCTTTGCTAACAAAATAAATTCACCTCCTCAGTTAAGCTGCTGTTTTTTTGATGATCTGGACGTTTGTCACTCACAACACGCAGGTGACAAAGAGTAACTCAAATCAAGAGGGTTACCTGCTCCTCTTTCCTCTTTCATGCTGACAATTTTTTTTGTTTTATCGATGTGTGCTCATTGATCCTGACTTCCTCATTTTGATTAAAAAAAAAAAATCTGCATAAATTGTTTTATTCATTTTTGTTTTGTAGGTCAAAGTGTTTTATTTATCACTCCTGAGTTAAAATGTTGCTGATCAATTTGAATTTATTATTATTTATTGATTATATTTAATTTTATTTTTCAGTATCAACTGGTCAAAAATGTTTACAGTTTAAAAAATGATTACTTTTTTAGGCAAATTGATGCACTGTGTTGTTTCTGTTGCAGACTAAAAAAAGCAATGTTAATAAAGTTATTCTTCCTTGTAAGTTGATCTTTGTTCTTTTTTTTCTTTAATGTTAATAAGGACACAATGTTGGGCAGAGGTGTACTTTTAACAATTTTATAGACAAATGATACCATTTACAGTCACAGCGGAGAGTTGCGGGGGGGCACAAAATGTTTACTTCTTTCTTGGAGGGGGGGCATAACAGAAAATAATTGAGAAGCACTGAACTAGGGCAACGATCCAGGTCTCTGACAACTAACTTTCCCCAATTATGAGTTTGTAACGTTTAGAATGTTCATGGAGTTTCAAGAGTTCATATAAGTTGAAGCATGAAGAAATGTAGTTTGAAGAATCCAGTGTGTTGGAAGCAGTTTTTATGAGGCAAAGCTAGTTTAAGGAGATGGGGCCTTAGGCTGCATCAGCCTCCCACCAGACCATGGGAAGAGTTCACTTGCAGGCTGGGATTCTGTACTCCCAGCTGTGCAGTTGGTTAGCTCGCCTTCCACAAACCTCCAAGCTGACTGACAAGGTTTGAGGAAATCCAAGTTCATTCAAGTCCATCCAAGTCCACCTGGCCTGTATTAGACAAACACGACTTGTAAGGTTCTATAAATCAAGCTAATAAGAAAACCTAACTTTAATAAAAGCTCGACCATGTGTACACAAACATAAATCCAAAATAAAACTAATATATCCCAAATTCCAAATAAATACAAAATTAATCTATACAATGGAATACTGTTTGCACATAGAACAAAGCAACAAATAATTCATAAAAGGCAAACAATACCATACAAACAGTATTGGGCCTGCTAAAAGCTAAGCACTAGCAGCAAATGCTAATGCTAAAACAAACAATTCAGACTCACCAATTCCAAGATAATTTCAGACTTAATCGGATGAAAATGCCCCTCTGTGTGTTAATCGTCCGATCTAAAGATTTTACATCAATGCATTTAGTCAAACAATACAGTAAAAACACTTTAGAGACCAAAATAACCAATTGCTTGTAAAAACAAACCTGGTAGTAGCCATGCACCTGCTTCCCCCAGCCATCTGATCTTCTTCTTCTTCTTCTTGATGAGTTTAATGGCGGTGGGCAAAAAACTGTAGGTGTGCATTACCGCCACCACTGGTATGGAGTGTGGTTCATCATGGGCTAATTCTATGTGTATGTGTGAGTAAACTATATATATCTCAAATTCTATTAATCAACTTTGTTTTCTTAAAATATCTAATTATAATTTGTATATGTTTGCTCTCCAAGTTGTGTTGTAGTTTTTCTTTTATCTTTTCAAACTGTCTCTTCATAAACCTTCGTTCTGCTGCATATTTATGACATTCCAGTATCACATGTTGAATAGTTTCATCTTGTCCACAGTGCTCACATTTTCCTGTATTGTGTTTCTTTATTTGAAATAATGAATAATTCAGTCCCGTATGTCCAAATCTCAATCTTGTTATTAATCTTTCTTCCTTTCTGAACAAACGTGTATATAAATGAACATTTAACAAAAAGAAATGGAAATCTTGCACGAGAAGCACGGTTATTAAAAAAACAAAACAAATTATTTTCGACATGGACAAGAAATGGAAAAATATGGATAAAAGCGCAAGATGGATCACAACCAAAAATAGTAAAAGACATGAAGGATTTAGATAAATTTAGATAAATCTAGATGACAAATAATTACAGACATGCAAAACTTTGAACATATAAAATGCATAAGAATTAGACTGATGAACAAAAACACTGAATAATAATGACGTACGATGAATCAGAATTCAATGTTGAAGAGGTGATTGACAAAATTTTTTTTCCAATTAGAAAAGAAAGTAAATATTATAATGATGATCAGTTCAATGTTATAAACACAAAGAAGATCTTTCTATTATTCATTTAAATTGCAGAAGTTTAAATGCAAATCTATTAAACATTTCAGAGTATTTACAAGGATTAAATAAGACTTTCAAAATAATAACATTATCTGAGACATGGTTAAACGATGAAAATATGAATAATGCTTTCATTGAAGGGTATAAGTTACATCATATGAACAGAAAAAACAAAAGAGGAGGTGGAGTGGCTATATTTATAGACAATGAAATCAAATGCAAATTGATAAGCGAAATGTCAATAATGGTGGAAGATATGTTGGAAATGATAACAATAGAAATAATAAAAAATAATACAAAGAACATCATAATAAGTTGTGTATATCGATCGCCATCCTCAAATATTGAGCTATTCACTGATAAACTATTGGAGTTATTAGAAAAAAGTAGAAATAAAAAAAATTTTCTATGTGGAGACTTCAATATTGACCTAGGAAATATCACTGATTCAAACAACATAAGTATATTCATAAATTCAATGTATAGTCTAAATCTTTGTCCATTAATATCAAATCCTATAAGAATTACAACTCAAAGTGCTACTATAATTGATAATATTTTCACAAATGTAACAGACGGTGATATGCTGAGTGGTATCTTGAAGACTGATCTTAGTGATCACCTACCAGTCTTCACTATTTACAAGAAAGAAAATGCTATAATTAAAACAACTACAAGAAAAAAACAAAAAAATTAACACGTCAAAAAAAGCATTAGACAAATTAAAAGCTGAGTTGGAACATCAAAAATGGGATAATGTGTACATAAATGATGTGAATAAATCTTATGATGAATTTATGACAATTCTAGAGGTCATCTATTATAAACATTGTATGCAAAAGAATTACACTAAGAAAAACAAAGTGGATTGTCCATGGATGACCAAAGGATTAAGAAATGCATGTAAAAAAAAGAATCATTTGTATTCGTGTTTTTTTAAATCAAGGACCAAGGAGGCTGAAGAGAAATACAAAAAATACAAAAACAAATTAGTTAGTATCATAAGGAAACACAAGAGGGAATACTATAGTAAATCATTGCATGAATGTAAAGGTGATATGCGCACAACATGGAGAGTAATGAATACTGTTTTAAAAAAGCATAAAGAGTGAACGGGACTTTCACAACATTTTGTGGAAAACGATGTGGAAATCTATGAAAATGATGAGATTGTCAATGGATTTAATAATTATTTTGCAAATGTTGGGTCTTGTCTAGCAGCTTCGATTCCTAAAGTGGAAAAAAATTTAAGTTATTTAAGAAATGGTTGTGTTGACAGTATGTTCTTGAGTGGAACAGATAAGGAGGAAATAATGAAAGTTGTCGAAAAATTTGCTGATAAAAGATCAAAGGATTGTGAAAATATGGATATGGTGGTTGTAAAGGAAATACTGAGTTGTGTGATTGAGCCATTTACATACATCTGTAATTTATCATTTTCAAAAGGAATTTTCCCAGATAGAATGAAGGTTGCTAAGGTAGTTCCTCTTTTTAAAAATGGTGACAAATGTACATTTAGTAATTATAGGCCTATATCTCTATTACCACAGTTCTCTAAAATTCTTGAAAAATTGTTTATGATTAGATTAGATAAATTTCTTGAGAAAAATAATATTTTAAGTAATAATCAATATGGTTTTAGGTCAAACTGTTCAACATCTTTGGCTCTCATGGAGTTGATAGAACAAATTACTACAGCGGTTGATCAAAAACAACATTGCATAAGTATATTTGTGGACTTAAAAAAAGCATTTGACACAATCGATCACACCATTCTGCTTGATAAATTGAATCATTATGGTATTAGAGGTCCTGCTTTGCAGTGGATAAGCAGTTATTTGAGAGATAGAAGACAGTTTGTTCAAATAGATGAAGTAAAATCTAATTTGTGCAGAACTCCATGTGGTGTACCACAAGGTTCAATACTTGGACCTAAATTGTTTATATTATATGTAAATGACTTAATTGAAGTGTCTGATATCTTCAAATGTGTTTTGTTTGCTGATGACACTACTTTTTTCTGTCTGGGTAAAGATATGGAACAATTAATTGAGTTGATAAACAAGGAATTTGTAAAAATACAGGATTGGTTTAAATCAAATAAGTTATCATTGAATATTGATAAAACTAATTTTATGGTATTTAGTAAAAAAAAGATAACTTTGGATTTTTGTTTCAAAATTGATGGCATTAAAATATGTAGAGTAAATGAAGTAAAGTTTCTGGGTGTAATCATTGATGATAAACTATCATGGAAACAACATATAAATTTTGTAAAAACTAAAATATCAAAGTCCAGTGCAGTATTATATAGAGTAAGGGACTTGTTAAATAATGAAGCTTTACATTTACTTTATAATACAATTGTAGTCCCACATTTTACTTATTGTCCCAATGTTTGGGGTACAGCATGTAAATCCACAACAAGGCCTATATTTATTCTACAAAAAAGAGCAGTAAGAATTATAACAAGAACGAGTTATTGTCATCCTTCTAATGTTCTGTTTAGTCAATTGAAATTACTTAAGTTTTATGATTTGGTGGATTATAATATTCTTTTACTTATGTTTAAGGCCCATAATTGTTTGCTGCCATCAAACATTCAAACATATTTTGTAAAAAGGACGAGTGGTTATAATCTAAAGTGTAGTGAGTCACGTGGGTACGTGTCACTAGTTGTATGACAAATATATGTGGTATATATTTATGCATACTATATTCACGAGTTCTTCATTTTTCTGACTGTGTAATGCCGTGCATTGAATTTAACAGAAATGCGAACGAGAGACGTTATTATCTTTGACCCATCAAATGAATGGAGTCATTTATTTTCAGAATCAAAGTTTAACATCAAACATTTACATTAATTTGGCAAAATATGAAAATAATAACAGACAAGTTTCACAAATATTGAACTTCAAATCACTCGGCGGTGATTTGAGGACTTTGCTTCAGATATTTCTAAAAATATCTGTACTGATTTATGAGAGAGAGGTGAGTTTAAGATGAACTGGAGATTTTATCTTACAGAGGAATATGTGAGGGAATTTAATCTGTTTGACCAGAAATTGCACGCTCCCATCAGGTATCTCAGCTTGTCCCAGGTACACTTTAGTCGAAGAAGAAACCGTTACCTTGTTGACGATAGATCACCTCAGTAAGAATCCTTCAGACTGATATCAGCGTCTCCGTTGAGAACAGCTAAAATCTTTGGAGAGTCGTGCGTGGTTAGTTCAAACAGAATCATAATCCCAAAACGTCTCTGGATTCTCGGCAACTCTGACTCTTCATTGTCAGCAGCTCTCAGACTCTTTCAGATCTTCTCAGACTCCAACTCCAAAACTCTCCATAACTGAATTCTCTTCTGAACTCCTTGAGAACCGACTGCACTCCATGGAATCTACTGCACTCTACTAGAACCGGGAAGTTGTCACATTTTAAATGAGTTTACTTCCGAGTTTACTTCAGAGCTTTCTGATTCGTGGATGGACCAGAAAGAGGAGTGGTTTTGTGACGTAAGATGTTATCTAAGCCAAGGTCAGAGAATGAGATTGTTTTAACAACTGACAGAGAGATTATTGCAGGAGAGCAGACTTCGTGGAGTCAACTCTTGGTAATCTTCTGAAAAAGTTTAAACATGACATCTTTCTCGGTAAACATTTTAGTTGACCGAAAACCAACCTTTCACATACTTACGAGCTTAGCTCATTTCAGACAGAAAATCAAGAAATGCATATTAACCTGATTTCTCCTTTGAATGGGGAATAAAATCATTACTTACTGTTTATGTAAAATAAAAATGAGTAGTTCTTTTCAACCTGTAAGCATTGAGTGAAACTAACACAATTTGATTATCAAAACATTTGTAAGACAGTAATGATTATAGGGGATTGTCTTTTCTGCTTGATTAATTCAAGAAAGAAAGTCATCAGATGGCTCAGACTTATTCAGATCAATGAAAATAACAGTCTCTGTCCATCTGGTAGATTTGAGGTCATCAGGGTCAGATGAGGGTCAGATCATCAGGTCATCTGGTTCACTACAGTCCCCCCTTTGGAAATCATCACCTGTCCATGGGGATGAATTCCAACCGTGAACTTAGACCTTCAAATGTCCTTGAGCTTGATGTAATCCAGCAAGGAAGACCAAAGTCAGAAGT